ACTGTAAGCACAGAGACTTGATTCCCTACCGCAGCACCGAGCAGGGATGGCCAATGCAGGTCCTCACCCAATTTTGGCTTGACAAATCCGTTCGTTATCCCGAGGTTGTCAGCAGCCACCGTCTCCCCATTCACTACCCTGAGGATGGTGAACTCGGTGGCCAACGTGTGCATCACGAAGGGCAGGTCTCGCTCGCGTACCTGAGAACGATGACAGAAATCACTTGGCACAACGCGCTCCCGACACAGCAGATGAGATCAGGGGGACGTTATGTGTTGTTAAGGGATGCCTGTCATTTAAGCTTGCAGTGACAGACGCCCAGGGGCAGTTACCACTTTGATGGGGGCTTGGTGAATAGTTTGATCGCCCCGGTCCAGTTACCAACCTGCCTGCCTCCAGCAGGCTTAGAGTCATCACAAAGACTCCAACAGTGAAACAAATGCATTTCAATCACCGCATGCCAGCAACGCAGCCCCACAAAACTCTGTTGGGGTACAAGCTGCTCTCATCACCTTGTTTCCTCTTACCAGGATGAAATCTGTCTGATAGGTGGAGAGCATAAACACTGAGATGTTTTGGTCAGCCAGCGGCGCTATGACTGACTTGGCAATCTTAGTCACACCGATGGGCTGGGAGCTAGAGAAACTTCCTCCTCCAGAAACCACGTTGAGGGCCAGCCAGGTAGCATCTGCCACGCTCAGGTGCTCTGACGACGGGAGCTCTGAAAAGAGACGAAGGAAAAAGTATAAGCGAGTCGCAGGGCCGGGGAACCCCGGAGCCACCTAGATCAGGACATGCAACGAAACCCCTGCATCACCGCAAGAGAGTTTTAATTCATGAACGGGTCTCAAGACTAGATGTACACTCAGCAACCTCTGTAATCCAAGAACATATGATTTCAAGATTTTGGTCAGGCTGTTACAGAAACAAGCGTGTGTGTGGCAGAAGGCAGTTTGCACCTGCCACTTTAAGGACTGAAGCCAAGCAGCCAGAGTAAGGCAGCCATTTTAGATTCAGGGCTGCCTATATAAGCAGGGCATTTTTGCTGCTGCTGGCAGGGGGCGGACAACATCATGTGGCTGTGAGGCTTTGTGAAACACATTCGAGGTAAGAGAGAAGCTGTAGGGGATGGTCAGGAGGCTCCTGGTCCTGGGCATGACCTGAAACTGCACCGTGCCAGGAGTGGGTGGCTTGGTGGGGCTCTCAGAGCATCGGGGCAAGAAGTGGGCGGCCTCCTGTTTAACTAACATCAATTAATTAATTATCATCAAGGCATGGCAGGTGAGAAGGTGGACGGTTAGCCCAGAAACAGGTAGGCGGGCCACAGGGAAATTGGACCCGAGAAGGCCCCCTGGTACAGTCTTGCTATGAAGTTCAGAGGCATTTTTATCATCATTTGCATTGTGGTGGCCTAAACCCAAGCCAGAGCCCACTGGGAACTGTACAAGCATATTTTAGAGGTGAGTCCCTACTCCAAATGCTAGCAAGGGGGTGTAGTGCAGAACAACACCACCTGTCTGTTGCTGCAAACCAGCCCTATTAAAAGTCTGCTCGATCCGATCCATCCCCCCTCCCCTCTGAATACTAAGAGGAGTTCCCGAGCTTCCCATCAGAATCACAGGCAGCAGGAAACGTGGTAGAAAGGATGATGAGGCCACTGCACTTTGAGAGGAGAACCCTTGTGGAAGGCTGCTCATCCAGGCACAGGCACAGCAAACACAACGGCATAGCAAAAACGAGATGGCAAGATCCAGCTACCCTCACAGAAAGTCAAATCATGCTGCACTGGCACTGACTTGCCCTGCATTGATTGCTTCCCTATAAGACTGTCCAGGGCAGGATCAAATCCTTATATCCAGACAACCGAGCGCCTGCCCAAGCACTGCAGACAGCCAGAATCACAAAGTGCACAGTATAAAGAAACCATCATTTTCAATCCTTTTGCTGCTGGCCAGGTCTTAGCAGCTCCTGTCTGACATTTAGCAATACGTGCCATGTTGCTCTCTCTATTTTCTTCATAGGAAGACCATATGACAGAACAGGTGTCTCCCCCTATATGTTTTCAACATGAAATTCAGAGTGGAAAGCAGAGAGCTTGCTCCTGTGGTATCACTCAAGGCTGGGAACCTGGACATATGAGCTCCATTCCCAACCTGTTAATGACAAGAGGTGACTGTGGGCAATTCCCCAAATCTGTCTGTGCCTTGACTACCCCTTCCATAAAGGAAGATAACTTCTATGTACCATCTTCATGGGAGGACATTAGCTTTGCTATGATATATTAAAGACCTTTGGGCCCCCCCATACGTTACATTTATGCCACAACTAATTTAAGGTGCAAAAACATGGCAAACCTGCCATAAAAATGTTCCATATATAATGTAGAACATTTTTACAGCTGGTTTGTTTGGTGCCTTAAATTGAACATGTGGCATGTCTGGGGCTGTCCCAGGGTCGGTGTCAACATTCGGCTGGTTGTCAGCACCAGCCCCCAGGGCAGCCCCAATTCTCCAAATGGGCCCAGGGCTGCCAAGTAGACCACTGGCAAGGGGAGCCAAGGAGCTCCTCTTTCACGTACTCTCTGTACCCAGATTCCCCCAGCACCTCACAGCTCCCTCGGCTGTCGGGCATAGGGGTCAGAAGCTCCCAGCAGAGGGAACTGAAGAGCTTCCCCTGCTGGTGACTTTAAACCCCATGCCTGCTCCACACGCGTGGTTGTTGATGATTGTTGGGATCCAGGTCAGATCTCACGGCGCACTTAAATGAAAGTGTGCAGGGGCCTTTGTGATCTGTGGATAGACAGAAGAAGGAATGACCCTGCAAAGGATACAGACAGGGATGGTGCATTGGGAGGCCTCAGTGGGAAGCCCTGAACTTGCATTCCCAGATGACCTTTCCCTCAAGGGTGGCAGAGGCCGACGCACCATTTACATTTGCAATTACTGTAAAGTGTTTATTATGTGTGTTTAATTGGATTTAACCAACCCTGTGAAGCATGCCTATGGCCATTTTGTTTGCTTAAGTAACCAGTGTCTCGTAATTCAATTAACATTAAAAAAAAGGAGAGAGAGAGAGATGTGTATGGAAAGTGACTAAATTACCACTTCTGGACACTGTTTCCATTAGGCAGCCAGATGGAAAAGTACAAACCAAATTTTAATGAAACAAACACAGACTGGAGGCTCAACAATTCTATCTAAATAGCATCAAGTAAGCTGCGTGGGAAGGTGCCTTGCCCAGGGAGCTGTAAAATGCGCTAAGTACAAAGGATGCTGGAGACACCAAACGTAACGTTAACGCAGGCTCAACGAGGCAGAATAAGCAAATAAATAAAAGGCAAAAGAAGGTTGTGCTTGTGTTCCACCAGCAACCCGCCAACGGGAAGTCGGCAAACAACCAGGCCTATCCTTGTATCTCCCATCACAGGAGTGGGGATGGATGGAGAAACCAAACTGGTGCCCCCTACCCTCCAGGTGGAATGGCCCAACCAAACCTTTTTTTCCTAGAGAAAGGTAGAGCTCTAGGAGCCTTACACGTTCGGATGAAAAAAGCATTTTTGAAGCCTCTAAGCTTGCAAAAATAGCAGGGAAACCCCACGATAATAAGAGACTTGGATTTCCCATGCCCAACTAAGGGAACAGCCACTCCCGCTGCTCCCAAACAGACCAAGGACTTGCAGAGATGTTAGAAAGTTGGGGTTCGGCTCCTTTTCTTTTAAAATGAAGCTTATGATATTGTTTTTTTTTTAGTTCAAATCTTGGGTCAAGGTCTTCAGAGTATAGTATTTTACAGGACACTCTCCCAGGGCGGAGCTCTGCCTTTCCATTCAGCTGCCCATGTCCCTCACGTGGGGTGAACCGATATTGTGTATGCTACACAGTCACCACGGCCAGCAGGGACCGGCCACCGAATTCGTGCCATGGCTTTGATTCATGTTAAGCGTATGGGTGTAGAAATTAACAGGTTCACAAGGGCCACACAGGCCTGAGCAAGAACATTTAAGCTCCAGCGTGATGTCACGGGCCTCTGGCTTCCTTGGAAGAAGTAGCTATTGGGTACCACGGGGCTCAAAATGAAAGGCAAAACTTGATAAGTTCTTAACTGAGAGCCTCCCTGGATTTTCTGACATCTACAACAGATAGATTCAACACCATAGGCAACTGCATCGCTAGGAAAAATGTGCTTAGAGGAGCAACCGGATAAACCAAGTCAAGCAATGAGCCAACTCTGGCAGACTAGCTTGGATTCATTTGCTTCAACACACCTCTTCAGAAACAGAAAATACTCTTCCAAGATTTATCTGTAATCACCTCAGACGATTCTTAGACAAAACTGAATTTACAACTCTTGCTCAAGAGTACAAGTGACAATGAGGAGCGGGACAATACGGTCTTGCAGTTTCCAGTCCAGACAGGGAGATGAGATGCTGGCTCACCGGATGCTCAGAAAACATCTGGATCATGCTCTAGTTCCAGCAACAGCACTGGAATCCCTGCAAAATGGTGTGAGAAAATGAACAAATGTCATAGCCACTTTTTCCTGTACTCATTTCAACTTTGCTCAAGCCATCTAGAAAAGGGTTACAATGACGGGTCCATAAGAGTAGCTGGCAAATGAGTAGCTTCATAGTGGAGATAGGCAGCGTTTGCCTACACAGATAACTGGATCAGTGCTGCATCAAGTGTCGCCAAATAGGAAAATATGCCCTTTCTCGAGGAGGATAAATTGTGAGCTGGTTCACACAGAGGCAGTTTCAACCCTACTACAATCGGATACCTACTTGAGGACTCTAATTGCCTTCCTAGTGAAAATGGACATGTGTGACATTTGCTCTAGTTAATGAAAAGAAGCAAAGTTGTGTTTATTTTTGGATTGTTTCCTTGGGTTATTACACTCGTTCAGGGGTGAGCAATTATTTCGTCTGGAGGGCCACTTAATGAGTTTTGGGGACCTGTTGAGGGCCACATCTCACCTCTCCTCTTCTCTCCTGTCTCGTCTCATCTCGTCTCTCTCTCTCTCCCTTCCCTTCCCTCCCAACCCCTCCTCTCTGTGTGTGTCTCTCTCTCCCCTTCTCTCCCGAACCCGGATGGAGCTGTAGTTCACCCTGAAGCTCAGCTGTGGATCCAGATAAAGACTTGAAGCCTGATGCAGAACCTGCCGGCAGTGCCCACAGCTGATGCTGCCACCCACCCAGCATGGCACAAGCTCCTGGCTGGGTCCACAGCTGATGCTGCTGGCAGGTACTGGGTTGGGGCTCTGGGCGGGAGCTTCTGATGCTGCTGGGTGGAAGCAGTCCCACCTGCCTCCCCCCATCTAGCACCACATGACGGCTGGAGCTGCCAGCTCTCCACAGGCCAGATCCAATTAGTTGGTGGCCATTCACCCGTGGGCTGGACTGAATCTGTTGGCAGGCCGGAACTGGCCCACGGGCCGTATTTTGCACACCCCTGTACTAGCTCATCTCAGAGGTGCTTATTTTAATTCAGCGCACAGCTGTTTTTTCATTAGAGCAGTATATTGCAGGTAGCATGTTATTCATTGATTGAACGGCACTCACCATTAATCGACTGCTCAAGATTCTTCATCTTATGGTTTAATGTTCATTCGCAGGGCTGCCACCTCCAGAAATCATGAGAAATCATGTTTGCAAATAGTAAGAGTAATATTTCTTTCTTTTTATTTGCTTTCTGGCTTTTCAGCCTGCAGAGCACCCGTCTGACT